GTTTTAATTTTTATTATTATTTGTTTGTTTGTTTTCTCCCTGTTTTATGCAGGAAACTGCCAGCCTGTACACAGCTTAATGTCCTTTCCAGTGAATCCTATGCAGGAATTGTGGCAATCCTGCATAGCGTGGCACTTTTTCCTGCATAGGAAACATGTCATTCTGTACTGTCATTAGATCTAGGGGGAAAATGGTCTCAGAAGATTTATCAAGGAAATAATTTCTGCCAGGGGTGGAATCAGGATAAAGAGGTGGTGAGAGGAGGAAGATTTCCCAGGTGATTTGGCGGGAGGAAAAGTTTAATGAAAGAGAGGAACAAGGGAAAAAGGTTTACATCCCCTCCCCCTTTTCTTTTTGTCTAAATGAATCCTTCAGGTTGAAAAGGAATTAATGAAAGAACCCTAAAACAAAAGAAAGCAGTTGGGATTTTTTGTTTGTTTGCTTTGTTTTGTTTTTGGGTGTTTGTTTCTTTGTTTGCTTGTTCGTTTGTTTGTTTTCCAAGCTGGTTAATCTGAAAGTTCTATCCCTAGAAATCATCTCAGTTGGATTACTGCAACACACTCTACATGGGGCGACCCTTTGGAAAGTGTCTGGAAACGCCAAAGAGTCCAAAAGGCCCAGCCAGGTTATTAACTGGGGGTGGTTAACTGGGAACCTATACCTCCCCTGTTACAGCAGCTCCACTGGCTGCTGATCCGTTTCTGGGCACAACTCAAAGTATGGGTCTTAACCTATAAAGCCCTAAATGGCTTGGGCCCAAGTTATCTAAAAGGCTGCACCTCCCTCTATGAGCCTGCCGGGACTTGAAGATCATCAGGGGAGGCCTTTCTCTCAGTCCCACCATCTTCAAAGGTGTATTTGGTGGGGACACGGGAGAGGACCTTCTCTGTGGCTGCCCCCAGACTCTGGAACTCCCTCCCACAGGAAGCTAGGCTGGCCCCCATCTTTGCTGTCCTTCCGCAGGCAGACAAAGACCTTTCTCTTCAGGCAGGCTTTCTCTTAATGACAGGTGGTCTAAGAGGAGTTTTAAATAGATTGCTGTGCTCTGTTCTTTTAAATATGTCCTAATATTTATCTTTGTTACCATTTTAATATACTTGTTTAATTCTTTTTTAATATTTGTATACTTACTGTTTTTAGCTTTTAAATACTGTTTTAATGATGTATGTCCCCTTGGGTCCTTTTGGGGAGAAAGGCGAAAGAGAAATGTTTTTTTTTAAATTAAATTAAAATGATGGATGGATGGATGGATGGATGGATGGATGGATGGATGGATGGATGGATGGATGGATGGATGGATGGATGGATGGATGGATGGATGGATGGATGGATGGATGGATGGATGGATGGATGGATGGATGGATGGAAATCATGCTGCAAAAAGAGAAGAGTGGCTTTCTTTCAGTTTCCTGCTCAGAGCAACAGGAATTCTGGGAGCTGTAATTCAAAAGAGCAAGTTTCCCAAACCCTGAGATACACACCAACAGGGTTGAACAGGACTCTAGGAAACCCCGTTCAAGCAGATTTCCTATATTTCTTTCCGGACTCACCTTCCAGTTCAGGACATGAATGCTTTCATACTGTCCCGGATGGCCCCTCTGCAGATAGGACAGCGTCTTAAGTTAGGAGCGCAATCCGTGCACACCACTAAGTGCCCACAAGGTACCAGCAGAATGGAGACCTCCTTGTCCATACATACTTTACATGTCCGCTCCTCCTGAAGCTGGCGCAGCCTCTCTTCTATGGTTGGGACAGATTCTAGTAAAGGAAATGGGAAGTTCAGCCAGGAGCCTCTGACAACAAGTTAGATCACTATAATGACTAGAGTTTCATAGCCTTAAATAGGGTTGAACAAGCCCCTAGGAAACCTAGGAAACCTAAAATCCCAGCACAATTGTCGGTTTGTGCAGAGTTTATCGTTGCATGATTTGGGAAGGGCTACAACCCAAGTTACAACTCTCCCCTCCTTGTCATTCAGATTTGGAATTGTCTTCTCTCTTCATGAGAAATGAACCTGGGCTTACCCTAGCATCCTGTTGATTACAATGGGTCTACTCCAAGTATTACTAGGTCTGCATCTTATCCAATACTTGGGGAGATTTCATGGTGCTTAAATTAATGCTTCTTCCTCATCACAGTGTTCTTTTCCTACATAGCTCTCCCCCATCATCCTTACCCGGTTCATTTGAACATTCTGTTCTTGCTTCTCTTCGCTGTCTCCCAGTATCTGGTTCTCTTTCAGCAGGCTCTGTATGCACACACACACACACGCACAAACACACACACACACACAGAGAGAGAGAGAGAAAGAGAGAGAGAGAGAGAGAGAGAGAGAGAGAGATGCAACACTTATTAGGAAGCCAACAGGTAAGTTCTCTATTGCAAACTATGGCCTTGCTACAAATAATAACCTTAATCATGTGCCACCAAGTCAGTTCTGACTTAGGGCAACCGTTTGCAGGGTTTTCTAGGTAAAAAGCACTCAGAAGTGGTTTCCCATTCCCTTCTTCTGGGGGCACCCAGCTATCCAACAATTCAACCATCAGTTCAACCATCAGAGAGTCACCTTCTTTTGAGCAAGAACAAATAGAAATGCTAATCGGTGTTACAGAAATAACTACCTTGGTTGCTTCCCGACTGCTGTTCAAGTTGATGCAAACTGTCTTCCTGAAATCAACAAGGAAGATGTTTAAGTCACTAAAAAAAATCTCTCCAATCTCACCCTTGGAGCCTCAGAGATACACAGTGTGAGCATGCTTGCAAGTACATGCACTTACCCGAGACACAGGAGTAGCTAAATAGGATTCTTGAATACTGTTTACAAAGCCTCTCCCTCTGGACTGCAGCAGGAATTTACAGCTGTGGAAAGAGCAGAGAGGGGTAAGAAGCAAGATCAGAGGAGGAGAAAGGCAAGATTAGTTACAGGTACTGTTGAGGACACCGAAGAATTGGTGCTCTTGAATTGTGGTGCTGGAGGAGACTCTTGAGAGTCCCCTGGACTGCAGGGAGAACAAACCTATCCATTCTGAAGGAAATCAACCCTGAGTGCTCACTGGAAGGACAGATCCTGAAGCTGAGGCTCCAATACTCATAAGAAGAGAGGACTCTCTGGAAAAGCCCCTGATGTTGGGAAAGTGTGAGGGCAAGAGGAGAAGGGGACGACAGAGGACGAGAGGGCTGGACAGTGTCACCGAAGCTACCAACATGACTTTGACCCAACTCCAGGAGGCAGTGGAAGACATGAGGGCCTGGCGTGCTCTGGTCCATGGGGTCACGAAGAGTCAGACACAACCTAATGACTAAGCAACAACTGTTGAGGACCAACCTGCATGTTTGAAACCTGGTTGTGACTTGGTGGCCAAGTTAAAATACATAGCTATTTCAAACCTATGACCCTGAAATGATCTGCCCTGAGCCAATGGTCTATTAACACAACTTGAATCTCATGAATTAGGAAGAATTCACTATTGCAATGAACACAATGAAATGTATTCATTTGTCATTCTTACATATTTTCATAACTAGTGGCAAATTAATGGATTACAATTCTTGATGGATGGATGGGAGATAAACCCTATGTGCATCCCCACTTCATTTTGGAAGTAAAATCACAACTGCAAATTTCACTGCTACTTTCTCCCAAGTGTGAACTGCACAACATGTATGCAGGTATGTACTGTGTGCCATCAAGTTGATTCTGACTTATGGCAACCTTTTCCAGGGTTTTCAAAGGAGAGAAACCAGAAGTGGTTGACCATTCCCTTCTTCTGGAGACACATCCTGGGACTTTGCAGCTTGCCCAAGGCCACCCAGGCTGGCTTTGCTTGCAGGAGACCCAGGAGGGAATCAAACTCCCAGGGTATAAATATTTTTAATAAATGAATTAATAGTTAGGGGTGAAAGCTCTATATATCTATTTAAAGCAGCCCTGCCCTCCCTCTGTAAGACAGCTAACAAACAAAATTGAAAACAGTGGTAATCAAATACATATTTTTATAGACAGAGCAGGTAAAACTTCGGGGCCATCATAACAACCAGGAGACTGAATGCTAGTAAAGTCAATAATAATAATAATTGCAAGCTGCCAAACTGATTCTGATTTATGGTGACCCTTTTCAGGATTTTTATGGCAGAAAAACCAGACGTGGTTTGCCATTCTGTCAAAATAGCACAGATATTCAAGAATTCCAGCCCTTCTGGTCGTTGGTCCTTTCAGTGGCGAAAAACACAAACACAGCAGTTTCCACCACCAAATCTATTTACAGGTATCCACAGTAGCAAAAAAAATCACACAGCAGTCTTCCAGCATCTCTGTCCTCAGACCTGAGTTTTTTCACATTGCCTTTATACTTCGGTCAACCTATTAGATTTGACATTACATCATCTATTGCATCAGCTTCGCACATTAATCACAACTCAGCATGATACAACATTTTCTGTCACATGCGACACCCATGACCTGTTCTGTTCATGCTTGTAAGTTCTGCTTTCATTTTTTATTTCAATGTCCTGACAGCTTCCTTCTCCCCAATCAGCCTGGCATGTGTTGAAATCTGCCAGAGAGAGACTCTCTCTGTCAACACGTGCCTTGACCTCTGCATGATAGTATTCTTCTGTTTTGTGAAGTTTTTTTAAAAAAAATTTTTTTGACAGACTTCACAAAACAGAAGATCATCATACAAAGGACAACGAAAATCTTTTGCTTTTGACAGCGGGCTGGATAGCTTAGTGGTTGAGGTATCTGGCCCCAGAGCCAAAGTGTGGGAGTTCGATTCCCCCACTGGGCTTTCTGGGAGAAGAGCCAGCCTGTGTAACCTTGGGCAAGCTGTAGAGTCCCAGGTTCCCCCAGAAGAAGGGAATGGTAAACCATTTCTGAATACTCTCTACCTGGAAAACTGTGAAAAGAGTCACCGTAAGTCAACTTGATGGTACATAATTATTAGAGCTGACTGGATAACTCAGTGGTTTAGGTTTCTGGCTGCAGAGTTGAGGTTAGATGTTCAATGGCCCACTGCGCCTCCCTTTTTTTGTACTTTACTTTTATTGAATTTATGAGGTTAGATGTTCAATGGCCCAATGCGCCTTCCTTTTTTTTTTTTGTACTTTACTTTTATTGAATTTATACCCCGCCCCTCTAGACAAAGCCTACTCAGGGCGGTTTACATGGGTGATAAAACAGGATAAAATAATGGCTTATATGGATGATAAAACAGGATAAAATAACATACATAGTAAAACCTAATTGCCAGTGACTATATACATATCTACATTATCAAGATGGGAATAGTTAAGAAACAGCAACAGAAATTAAGTTAATTGACTGGAGGGACGGCCTGCCTAAAGAGCCAAGTTTTTAAATGGCTTTCCTGGGAGGAAACCAGCCTGTGTGCTCCTGGGAAGTTGCACCGTCCCAGAAATGCCCTCATTAGAAGGAAATGGTAGCAAGTGTGCTGCTTATATACTGCCCCATAGCGCTTCAAGCATTCTCTAGGCGGTTTACAAGTTAATTATGCAGGCTACACATCCCTCCCCCCAGCAAGCTGGGTCCTCATTTTACCGACCTTGGAAGGATAGAAGGCTGAGTGAACCTTGAGCCGGCTACCTGGGATTGAACCCCAGGTCGTGAGCACAGTTTTGGCCAGAGGACATCAGTTTAACCACCGCGCCACGAGGTAAACCACTTCTGCGTATTCTCTACCTCAAAGACCCTGGAAAGGGTTGCCATAAACCGAAATCAACAGCATGCAATTATTATTACTGAGGTTTAATTAGCATTCAGCCTCCTTGTTTTACCTGCTCTGTGTAGGAAACATATGCATTTAATTACTATTGTTTTTAATCTGGTTTCTAAATTGCCTTACAGAGGGAGGGGAGGGCTGCTTTATCTAAATACATAGAGCTTTGTCTCCCTAGCTATTCATTCATTTATTTAAAATATTGGTAACTCTGTGTTTCTCCTGAAAACGACCCAAGGTGGCTTAATGGATATGAAGTCTTCCTGAGCAAAAAAAAGCAGCAGCAAGAAAACTATTCCCTCTGCACAAAAGTCTAAGACATCGAAGAAAACAGTCTTTGTGTAGACTTTTCCAGCAACTAGTTTTGTTTTCATGACCCTGCAGACTCTGTGACACCCCCCCCCCCCAAATCTGGAGAGACAACATTGTCCCTGCAGCTAGGAACAGACCTAGTAATAAGCAGGTTCTAATGAACTCGCTGTGGATCAAGTAAATTAAATAAACAGACTGGACTACAGGATTGACTGCTGGTTGAAAAACAGATGCATAGCATAGGGCAACAGTTCACCCCATCGTGTCACTTGAGGGCCAGGTGTCACGTAGCAGGTGTCCCGGCTCTGGTTTGTCGGCTATGACACTTCCTGCTGCGATAATCTGGGCAGAGCTCTGCTAAGCTCCCAACTATATTGCCATAATGTGCGGTACGTGTGCAAGCACTTGGAGAAAATCTCAGAAGCTTCAAATCGTATGCAGAGGTGAAGAATGTGTCTAATATAGCCAGGCCGAGTGAAAAGACACCAGTTCACCAAGCGTTACTTTCTGCTTCGGAGCCCAGCTCAAAGTGCTGGTTCTCGTACGTTTAAAAACTAAGATCCGAATATCTGAAGGATCATCAATATGCATTGCTTCCTTTTGATTTATGCCAAACTGCAGTTGTCATTCTGAAATGCATTCTCCTGTTTCGGAGAGATCCTTTCAGAAGTCCTTGGTGGCTCTTTTCACCGTAGCCCCTCCAAAGAACTTGGTGTCGCCACCAAATGGGGCCACCTCACTGCTCAACTCTAACTCCAGATCATTTTAAAAGCATTGGTTTCTATCTACACAAATCTTTGTGATGGGGGAAAGCATTTACTCAATCCCTCAGCAGCAATATTTATTCTTACTTCCTATTCAGTTTTTTTCCCAATCCATAACACCAACTCTCCCCTCTCTTATTCCACAGCTGCAAAGCTTGCTTAGAGTCGGCGAGGCATCGGCCAAAACACAAATGAAATCCCAAACATTTTTCACTTGGGAAACTTGTTATGGAACAATACAGTGAAGAAACCAAGACAGCATTGACTTGATGGGTAGCTAAGCCAAGCTTTCACAAAGTAAGGAAAGAAGCACACGGACATGCCCAGGAATATTGAGAAGAATAACAATAGCAGGTGAGTGGCTATACAGGAAGACTGCAGACCTACCACATCATATAGAATAACAATAGCAGGTGAGTGGCTAAGGGATTAATGCACGTGTCTACTCACAGGAAGACTGCAGACCTACCACATCATATAGGGCTTCTGACCATCCAGAAAACATCAGCAATAAACTCCTAACTGAAGCTGGGAAACTAAGGGCTTTCCCAGATGGATTGTTTGCCCTATGCTTGTTCTCCAAACCCTTTTCTCTGCATTGTGCAGAGGATTTATCACAACTTGTGTCTAAACTATAATCTTCCTACGAGGAAGAGGGCCTTGTAGGAACAGCTTTCCTCCCCCCAACCCTGTGGATGCTCTGCCCTATTTCCCTTCAGGCAGCAGTCCTCATCTTGGCCAACCAACTGTGCAGGAAAGCAGAGACAGAATTACTTCATTTTGGAGTAAAAATTTGAAAGCAAAGATTATCTCTCCCCACCACTGTTCATTGGTTGATGCATAAACCAAAGAATGCCATAAAGCTATACGTTCTCCCCTGATATAAAATCATTACCCTACTACTAAAAACCACCATCACCAGAGGCTTTGGAAGAGTCCTCTGGGTACCCATGGAAAAAAATGGTACCAAGCTAGATAACAGGAACATTATCTGGATGCTGGAAGAATTTCCTTTAAGATCAGTGCTCAATGGGGGACTTAAAGGGAGTCCATATGCTCTGTTTGCAAGACCTCTAACTTGCATCAGGTGTGGGGTGGGAGTGTTTTGTTTTGTTTTTGCTCTGTTGTTCATCAACATCTGTGCTAAAGAGGTTAGAGATGTGCATTGTTCTCGCTTCTTGCAATGATTTATATATTCATTTGTCTCATTTATAGTCTGTCTTCCTCTTGATTGAGGTTGTGTGGGAATGGGAGTATGGAATACGATACCTTGGAAACCATCTGGCATGCTCCATCCATGGATCATCTCCACGTTCCCAGTTCCTCAAAGCACCATCACAGTAGAAACATCTCACATAATCTCCCTGGCCTGAAAACATCAGGAACAAAAGGTCTCATGGTTAAACAGCAGCAATGAAAACAAAAGGACCATTGCTGCAGAAGAGAAACAGAGTTGGTCCTTCTCTAACTATACAGTGACAACCCTCCGTGCTATGAGCACCTCTGAAGATTAGAAAGAGGGTTGTGTGATCCAGGATCTAGAAATAGCATGAATACAGCTTTTGCTAAGAGATCATAGAATCACTGAATCATGAAGTTGGAAGGGTCCTCTAAGGCCATCAAGTCCAACCCCCTGATCAAGGCAAAAATCCAAATCAAAGGATATCTGCCAGGGGGGTGTCTAAATTTCTCTTGAATGCCTCCAGTGTTGGAGCACACCAAAGTGTGGTTGCAGTAGTTAAGGTTATAATTGCCTACAGTGTCAGGGAAAGTTAAAAATCAAAGAGAAGCCAGATATGACTCAAGACTGGGCAAAATGGAGCCTTCCAGTTTTGCTGGACAGCAGCTCCTGCCATCAATCCCATTGGTTATGCCAGGTGAAGCTGAAGGGAGTTGTAGTCTAACAACATCTGGCCAGCCTCTGTGTGCCGGCTCCAGCGGACAGGTCAAAAGGTGATCCAGAGCGACCTCAGAGTAGCTAACGTCATACAGATCACAGACCAATCAGACATATGTGGAGAGGACTTTATGCTGCAGAAAGCTTGGTGCGACCGGTGAAATTAACGTCTTGCAACTACAGTATATACATGACGAAAAATAAAATAAATTGTTATAAAAGTGAATACCACAATGATTTGTTCTGATGGATGAAATGGGACCTTCACATTCAGGAACACCATAACCAGCATCCTATTATGAAATATATGTGCCCAGGGAAAATCATGCAAGCCGTTTTCATCAGGCCTTTTGTTGCACAACAAGGTGCACAAATGGGGTCATGACAACCAACCAGAATGATCACCCACACCAGCTATGCAGTTTTGGCCTGATGCTGGCCTGAACGTCTTCATATCATGCCTGCAGTAAAATAGCTAGTGAAAGCCATTGTCTCCTTGAAGTTCCCTGATGCACATCCTGGGATCAGAGCGGGCTGGCTTGGCCAGGCAAGTTCTAATGTTTGTTCATACCTGTGTAGAAGAAACCTGCTCCAGCCAAGATCTCTGGAGATACCCGGGCGTAGGATGGCCAGTTCTGAAACGTCGCCAGCCGATCGCCTTCCGTCTCCATATCTGGGTATTCAGGTTGGCTGTCGACAGAGGCTTCCTCCACACTTAAAGTTTGCAACATGCCAAGGAACTGCCCATCCACAGAGTCTTGTGTGTCCTCGGCTGGAGGCATCAGGTGGTGTCCTGCATTCCTGCCCTGGACGAAAGGACATGATGGGAAGAGCGCTGCATGCTCTGCCAGGAGATCATCCTCAGCAAACCAATGATGCAACACCCCGCCGCAGCGGAAACACTTCACTCTGTATTCCGGGCCAATGTAGTAAAAACCAGCCGCAGCCAAAACAGCGGGAGAAGCAGGAGCACTGTCCGGCCAGCGCTCAAAGGTCTTTAAGCGCCTTTCTTCTGATTTCATGTCAGATTCGTCTTGACAGAACAACCGGGTCCAGCTGCCTGCTGGAGAGAAGCTGTTATCCGAGCTATTTCCAGTTCCCCAGTTCCCGGAGAAGAGAGCAGTCAACACATCAGCAACCATCTGAACTCTGATTGCAGTCAAACTCTCCCTCACGTTAGTAAACTCCATCCCTCTTTGGCTCTGCCAACGGTGTGCTCTGGAAAACTCTGAAGTTAAAAGGGGAAACAGGCTCCTGAACAGCAAACACAAAAGAGGACGCTGGCTTTTCTATTGCCTGCTGATGCTGTTGGCACGAGACAATTACTGCTGTTCTCTCCGATTCTTCTTGTCCTGAACAGGAAAGCAAGAGAAAGGTAAACTTGTACAGCGAGTCATAGTGTGTCCATGTGTCTGTGTTTACCTGACATGGAGGGAGACAGAAAAGAGAAGTCCAATAACAGCTAAACAGGTAACGTATTTAACACAAATTTAAAATTCTTAGGCTGAACCTATGGACACAGTTAATGCTGGACAAAAGAGGATGGAGCAGGGAACGTATTTAACACAAATTTAAAATTCATAGGCTGAACCCAGGCATCACTTATGGGCACAGTTAATGCTGGACAAAAGAGGATGGAACCGATCATGTAGTGACCCAATTAATAACTTAACAGGTGTTCAAAAGTTTGTTTCATTTACGGAGGCAAGAAATTTACAGATCAGCATAAATGCAATTCATAGGGACGTGGTGGTGCTGTGGGCTAACCCGCAGAAGCCTGTCCTGCAGGGTCAGAAGACCAAGCAGTCGTAAGATCGAATCCATGCGACGGAGTGAGCGCCCGTCACTTGTCCCAGCACCTGCCCACCTAGCGGTTCGAAAGCATGCAAATGCAAGTAGATAAATAGGGACCACCTCAGTGGGAAGGCAACAGTGGTCCGTGTCTAAGTCGCACTGGCCACGTGACCATGGAAGATTTGGACAAAACGCTGGCTCTATGGCTTGGAAACAGGGATGAGCACCACCCCCTAGAGTCGAACATGACTGGACAAAAATTGTCAAGGGGAACCTTTACCTATAAATGCAATTCATGCTGAATTGTTGCAATTTTCTGGTATCGCATACGGAAATTTTTTTTCTGCTTTAAGATTACCTCCTAAGACCCCAGCTGGAATTCATCATGACATTTTATCTTAACACTGGTAAGTCACTCAACTAACATTATTAGCTATTCTTGCTGTAGCCTAAATTGCACATGAATGTCAAATGCCCCAGGACAGCTTTAGCCTCTTTATAAAGCCTCTCTCACACAGAATTGTCAACTTCCTTTAAAGGAGCGGGATAAAATGGTTCCATCTACGGTTCCAGGCCTATTTTCAATCTATGCCCAGAAAAAAACAGTTTTGATAATACTGTTGGTACTGTCGCCCCATTAAATATATCTTTAGTTAATTCATTGTGTGAGTTTTATTAGAACAGTGCATTAAGCGTACATAAAACCTGAATATACATACAAATAATAGCTCTGAGAGTAAGATTCCCAGTAGGTGGAATCTTAGAAGAGACTTTTTCTCTCCTTACACAGAAGGGAAGGTGTTACATGCCAGCTTTTGTTTTTCTAAGTACCTGTGCATTAATACATCTGTTTACATCTCTCTGTGGTTGCAATTCACCTGAGTACCTCAGTTAAAAGCCTGATAAACCATCTCATCAAGTAGACAAAAGGCAAATAATTTTGTTATATATTTGAGCCTCTTGCAAGAAGGGATCCCCATCCCCAGACCCTTGGAAAAGAAAATGGAAATGTAAAATGAGGATCCAAAATTCTCAGCATCATAGAGTTGAACTTACAACATATGCTTTTAGGGCCGGAGGAAGAAGCTTTGAGCAAAGATAAGGAGAGTCAGCAGGGAAACAAAATGTTCTGTTCCTTTAGCAGATGACACTTTTCAAAGCATGAAAAGCAGAAGGTCAGCTGCTCTCTGTGTATCCAGTTGCTCTTAAAGGCACAGGAGCAGGGGTCGTATAAGTAGTTGCTATACTATTTATTGCCCATGCCCATAAGCATGGGAGAAAGTCCTTCAAATTTAGAACTACAAGGAAACTCATATTTTCAGGTTTCCAAGCAGGTAATAAAAAAACCCAGAATCACAAAGTCTTCCCCACACTTGTTTGAGAAGAAGCAATGGTCATCTGGCTTTGCTAGGATAATGGAATTAAAATTATGTCAACAGGGATATTTTGCAACTATCCTTTATAAGAGCTCATTTGGCAAAATTAATTGCTATTAAGCCCATTTGAGAACCAGAAGGTCCAATAAGGAGAGAGATATAACCTGTTAGGAAAAGCAGTCAAGGTTCTTGGTGAAAATCTGCCTTTCTTCATTGCCCCCGTTACCACATCCTGTGTGCTATTTAATGTTTCGGCCTGTTGTTTTAAAGTCTCATTTCATGAGACTGCAAACAGAAAAATATAGAGCCCTTTCTTCATATATTGTATTTTCAATTATACTGTACCAGAAAAATGAATAGCTTGGTCTGGAAATTAATTAAGCCTTTAAGTTGTGTAAGATGAAACTTAGGAGTCACCTCACCTCCAAGATACCATATGTCACACCCTGATTTACAACTAGGGAACAAGTACATTGTAAAAAGAACTGTATAACATATGTAAGCAAACCAAACATGGGTCTTTTGTCTTCACGGCCATTACCTAAAGTTACCAGTACTTAATTACATTACTATACTAATAGCACTTACCTAATTGGAATTAAACCCAAACGAAGGGACACCGCCCTTGCTTCCTCCACCACAAAGCAGAAGAAATTGCATAACATTGCCTCCTGGGCCACATTTAACTTCCACACTCCACCCAAGCAATTAACTACTCTGTGTTTCTCATCAACCATTTAAAGCTGCAAGCCACTTTTTACTTGATTTAGGGACCCCAAACAAGTCACTGTGGGACTGATATTTGAGTACGAGGGAAACGTGAAGCCTCACAGATGTTGTGGGACTCTAATTCCCAGAATTCCTGACCATTGGACATGCTGAAGTCACTGTGGGACTGATATTAGCCGCCTAGAGTGGTCTATCGACTAGATAGGTGGGATATAAATAAAATAAAATAAATAAATAAATAAATAATATTTGAGCACGAGGAAAACGTGAAGCCTCACAGATGTTGTTCCCAGAATTCCTGACCATTGGACATGCTGACTGGTGATAATGGAAGGTGAATTCCCATCACATCTGGCAGAGTTGAAGATCGGCTCTGCATCCTTGGGTTAAAGTAATCAGACTAGAAGCAAAGAGAAACAGCTTCATTTCTTCACCTAGCCATGAAAACAGGCCACTTTAGACTATTTTGGTCCATTTGCTAGGTAAGGTGTTGTTATATGCTTTACAAATAGGCATTTAAAACATTCTTCAATTGAGAGAATAGTTGTAGACCTACATTGGACTATTGTTATATGTTTTCTGTGGTTCCCCTCCCCCTTTGATTTGATATTTACATGCACATTTTGTGTTATGAAATCAGTATTACTAGAGAGTCATAGAGTTGAAAGAGACCACTGAGGCCATCCAGTCCAACCCTCTGCCATGCGGGAACATCCATCAAAGTCCTCCCAACACATAGCCATCCATCTTCTCCTTAAAAACCTCCAAAGGAGGAGACCCCACCACCCTTTGAGGCAGCCTATTCCACTGCCGGACAGCTCTGACCATCAGGTAGTTCTTCCTAATGTTCTGATGGAATCTCTTTTCCTGTAGTTTGAAACCATTGTTCCATGTCCTAGTCTCTGGAGTTCCTGGAAAACAAACCTGTATCCTCTTCAACATCTCTTTCTTTCAAATATTTAAACATGGCTAACATGTCCCCTCTCAACCTTCTTTTCGTAAGGCTAAACATTCCCAACTCCTCCTCGTAGGACATTGCTTCCAGACCTTTAACCATTTTAGTCACTCTCCTCTTGACACGTTCCAGGTTGTCAACATCCTTTTTGAATTAAGGTGCCCAGAACTGGACAAAATGGTACTGTTTATTGTGATTTTCTGTTTTCTTTGTACACCACCCAGATTATTGGGTTGTCATTAAGTTGGTGGGATGGATGGATGGACTCTCTTCCACTTTATAGAAAACTTATTGATCAGTGCCCTCCAAAAGTTTGTATCATTAACAGCCTTTCTCAAATCTTGCAAACTTCAAGGCCATGGTTTCTATTCTTGAATCAATCCACCCTAGATTCAGACATTCTCCTTTTCTGCTATCCCCTACATTTCCTGGCATTATTGTCTTTTCCAGTGAGTCTTGTCTTCTTATGATAAATCCAAGGTAGCTTCACTTTAGTCATTTATGCTTCTAAAGAGCATTCAGGTTTCATTTGCTCTAGAGCCCAACTTTTGAATTATGATGCTGGAGGAGACCCTTGAGAGTCCCCTGGACTGCAAACAGAACAAACCTATCCATTCTGAAGGAAATCAACCTTGAGTGCTCAGATCCTGAGGCTCCAATACTTTGGCCATCTCATGAGAAGAGATGACTCCCTGGAAAGGATCCTGATGTTGGGGTCCACAAAGAGGAGGACGACAGAGGACAAGATGGCTGGACAGTGTCACCAAAGCTACCAACATGAATTTCACCCAACTCCGGGAAGCAGTGGAAGACAGGAGGGCCTGGTGTGCTCTGGTCCATGGGGTCATGACTTAACAACTAAACAAAAAGTGCTCAACTATCTTTTTGCCAGCCATATTATTCGCAAAACCCTCCTACAATTTCACATTTTGAATTATTCTCATTTTTCCTGTTAATTTTCTTTCTTGTGTTGCATAACAATCAAGAATTTCATAGTATTTATGATCTTAGCCTTGGACTCCAGTGGCATATACTAACTGTGATCCAATGAATGGACAGAATCAGATGCAAAATAGTGACTGAGATTCATGGAATCGTGGAGTTGAAAGGGCCTATAAGGTCATTGAGTCCAACCCTCTGCTCAGTGCAGGAATACAATCAAAGCAGATCAGACAGATGGCTGTTTAACTTTCCCTTGAATGCCTCTAGTGGAAAATCGCTCTCAGACAGATGGCTATTTAACTTCCCCTTGAATGCCTCTAGTGGAAAATCGCTCACCACCTCCCAAGGTAATTGGTTTCATTGTCGTACTGCTCTAACAGGTAAGAGGTTTTTCCAGATATTCAGTCTAAATCTGGCTTCCTATAACTTAAGCCCATTATTACATGTCCCGCTGTCTGGAATGACTGAAAACAGATCCTGCCCCTCCTCTGGTCTGGAACGACTGAAAACAGATCCTGCCCCTCCTCTGTATGACTACCTTTCAAGTATTTGTCATGTTTCCCATCAGTTTTCTTTTCTCAAGGCGAAACTTGCCCAGTTCTTTCAGTCTTTCCTTGCAGGCCTTGGTTTCCCTGATCATCCTTGTTGTCCCCTTCTGAACCTGTTCTGGTTTCTCGGCATGCTTCTTAAAGTACTGGACACAGTACTCAAGATGAGACTTAATCAGTACTGAATATAGGGAAATGTCTGCGATTTGGAGCCTATACCTCTATTAATGCAGCCTAAAATGGCAATTGCCTTTTTTGCAGCTGCATCGTGCTGTTCACTCATATTCAGCTTGTGATGTACAATTATTCCAAGATTCTCCTCACTCATAGTATTACTGAGGTAAGTATCCCCCATTTTGTAACAGGTTTAGAATTTTGCACTTATCACTGTTAAATTTCATTCTGGTTTTTTTTTTTTTAGGTCAGTGCTCAAGCCTGTTAAGATATTTTGCATTTTGTTTCTCCATTTCAGTGTATTAATCTTCCATCCAATTTTGTATCCTCCGAGTATGGTTCTCTAACCAATTGTGCATCCATCTGACACTTGTGCTATCCATCCCACACCTAGTTAGCGTGCTAATCAGAATATCACAGGGCACTTTGTCAAAGGCTTTGCTGAAGACAAGATATATTATGTCTACAGCATTTCCATCATCTAGCAGGAATGTTACCCAATCAAAAATGAAATAAGATTCATCCGGCAGGATCTATTCTTCAAAAATCCATGCTGGCTTTTAGTTATCGCTGCATTGTTTTGAAAGTACGTACAGAGTGACTATTTCTTTTCTGTCTTTGGCTATGTACTTAGGAATGCTATGGAATGTTTTTTGTTGCTGTTCTTGCTTTTACAGTAGTTTCTCTTGATAACCTCAGTTCATTCTCAGCTTTTGCTTTCCTAATCCCTTCCTTCTAGGTACCAAGTGCTCAGAAGTGGTTTATCATATCCTTCTTCTATTTATTTATTTACTTATTTATTTATTTATTTATTGATTGATTTGATTTGATTTGATTTGTATGTGTATTACACTTCCCTGCTTCTGAGAGCACCCAGGGAATTTGTAGCTTCCCCAAGGCTACATAGGCTGGCTTTTCTCTTGAAAGGCACAGTAAAGAAACCAAAGCAGCCAGTTGCCTAAATCACTGAACTGTCCAACCAATGTACAGTATTTCCCAATTAAATAAGCAGAAGCATGTGCCTTCAAATGAAGCAATATTTGATCCAGCCTGAGCTCCCCAAAACACTAAACAGATTTCAAAACTCCCTGGTTCGAGATGTTGATACCTTAAAAGTAAAACAGTTGTCTGTGGGAAAGCAAATGCCTTTTGTCCAGCATCTTCAAACTTCAGGGCCTTGAGACTTTTCCAACACGAATATTTTATGAGTCATCTGTAGGAAGATAGCAAGCCTGCAACTCTTTGACTTGTCCCATTAGAAACTTTGAAATACCTGAAGCTCAAGCTTCACACCATTCTGAGCTTCCTGAAATTCACACATCACACTTTTACAGAACAGCGCATATTGTACAGTGCAGTGAGATCACTACAGGACGGAGAGTTTCTTGCAGCCCAAAGAAGTGTAACAAGATTTGTTGCATACTGACTGGTGGACATTGAGAACAATCACCTGTGGCCTTGGCTGAAGCACCATTAGCATCTCCCTTCGTTACTGAAACTCACTCCTGAGTTACGAACTGCTTTCATTTTCCAGTTGCAATTTATTTATTATTTATTTATTGAATTTATATCCCACACCATCTGGCAACCAGGCAACTCTGGGCAGCTAACAACTACATCAGCAACAGTATTAAAACGCAATAAAAATAAATTAATACATAACCAAATAGGGTAAATTTTCACTGCTCATTAAAAACTGAGTCATGTCTGACAGGCAATAGGGCTTTGAGCTGTCAAACGGGGTTTGGTGCATCTATGCGTAACCCTCACCAAATCCTGTCTGGCATGTCACAGCATGGCTTGTCAGGCTGGTTCTTTGGGAAGCATCAGAACAATCTCTGGGCATTGAGTGTATTTCTGGACAAATTGTTCACTATCTGTAACAGGTGTTTTGAAATTGACCATTCAAAGGTTGGGTGCAGCACAAGAGATATGGGGTGTTGTGCAAAGCAGTCCAACACTGTTTATTCAAAAATATGTCATATGGGGTTCAGAGGCTTAATCCCAGTTATGTATGTGCAGTCCTAATTTGGTCCTTGCCATTAGCAGAACCAGATATTTTGGGCAGTATCATTTAAATTTACTACCTGATAAGTGTTCTTGAATTTTCTTCAGAGGTTTCCTGAATCTTTTGTTTTAGAGAACCTTTAAGGTTTGCTGTTGTGTCACATGTACCATTTTCTAACACTATGTAGGGTACCATGCATGTGTGGTTGTGGATGCATCAGAATCTATTTCTGGCTGCACTGATCCACAGTCTTTTCAGACTACTGTACTGCAATATTTGTATATACTGCTACCTTTGAAGATATTTTTTAAAAGTAGTTCAACATATGGCAATGTTTTTAAGCTGGGACTGCATATTATCACCATATTGTATCATCACTGCATTTTATAGTCATACCATGGCTTTGAAATATCTCACAAGTAGAACTCACTTGGCAGTAGCATGCCCCCAGTTTTCTTTTATTAACTGAAGAATGACTTCAGTTTGCTCAGTTACTGCAATCACTTGCAGCACTTTAGAGACAAAAGAATTTAATTTAGAATAAGCTCTCATGGACTACAAGCTACTTCTTCTCGTGTGATTTCTCAGTTCATGCACTTGACACTGGTTTTAGCCTTTACAATCATGATTACATTTTATCAAGCTATAATGAGAAATTTTGTATTTTTTAAATACAATGTTTGAGGAACCCCCTAAGGCAGGGTTGCCACTGAAATTTTATTTTTCATTTCCCTGACCACCATTTGTCAATTTTCCTACCACCATTCAAATATAACCACAAGTTAAAAAATGAATAGGCCATGTTGTATTAATGCAAGTCTTAATGAAATATTCCACTCTACAACTACACAAGTCTCAAATGCAAAAATATTTGTCAAAGTAAAAGAATTAATATCAGCTTCTTTCAACATTAACTGCAGCAACATGTTTTGCAACTGCACCAACATTTACATCAAGATACAAACTTCAAGTAAACTCTGAATGCTAACAAATGACACATTTTTGTTGTTTTAAAGGTACACTAAAAAGTGTATAAATGTTTTGTAAACATGTATAAACCATTGTAAAAATGGTTTCTCTGAAGCCACATTAACAAAACTTCTTTCAACTCCTTCCATCAGCTCTCACGAGTTTCTGCATAGCAAAATAATTCTTCTTTCTCATGCAGATAAAGCACCACCTGTAACAGACTGGAGAAGTACCACATAACCTATCCGATTTTCTCACACTATATTGAAGTGTACTCATCTATTGTTCTTTGACCATTATTTGAGCTGTGCAACACCTTGACATTTTGAAGCATTTAAATAAATGTATTTCCTGTAGATAATACTTTTTACTAAAACCCTACATACTCCTTATAATTCCTCAAATACTGTTTGCTGACTTCAGCATCAGATTTCAGGTTTGAGAGGTGCTGCAGTGTCAATTTATGGCATCCTCACATAAATGAGGCTGTTCCAGCTGCACACCAGTGGGAGATACGGCCTCCACTGGACATTGCCGCCCGGACCGGGGACGGCGGCTGGGTGTCGTTCTTTCAGTGAAATTGTTCACGTGGATGCAGAGCTTCTTCATTCATTTGAGCCACCCTGAAAACTCAAGGAACGACCGGATCCAGAAAGGTCAGTGGAACATGGCAAGCTGTCTCTAGTCTCCCTCCCAGCTCGGGTTCGAATCCCAAAGTGGAGATTCCTGAGGACTTCCATCTCTCCTTTTTCCTGCCAAGGACAAGAGAAAGTGCAGTTCATGGTTGAGTATCGTGGCCTTCTTTGTGTTTCATCGCACATCTGTTCTACGGCCAAGGTGAGGTCACTCTCAGCAGCCTGAGTCTGAGGACTGGAACACCGCAGAGTGCTTTCAATTGACCTGTCAGTTAATGTCCATGCAGAGCCCAGGCTCTCCTTCTGTTCCTGTCATGCCTGTGTGGCGGTCGGACTTGCTGCGTTCGTCTGCAAAAGCCGAGACAACCACGGGCCTACAAGCATCACACGAAGGTTGGCCGATTTAGAAAGACAACAGTCGGTGTCCCAGAGTGGACTTCACCGGAGGAATGAGAAGTTCTCTCAGGTGCACACGTTTGCAGATGCTGTTCAGGAGAGCAACCTAGGGGAAATGAAGCACCCGAAGCAGGAACGTGGATTATTTCTCCTTTCGTTTCTCCTTCGGGAGTCCTGCCTGATTGTTATTTTAAGAGTTATCGCCATTTTTTTTTCCTATTTTTATTTCTGTTTTATGACCTCTTACCCGGCCAGAGTAGTACTGTGACACCAATGGGAGTGGGATACAAATTGAATAAACAAATGGGAACAACCCAGTCACTGTTCTGAACCTAAAACAATGTATGATGCCATTCTATAGGAAGGGGTACAAAGGTGGGCACCACCTCTGGCACATGTTCAAGCCCAACCCCACCTGTTATTTTAAGCCAATTAAAAAAACCTCATCTTTTCGTTCTCATGACAAGCTCACAAACTGCACAGCCTACGCAGAAATTCACATTTCTGTGGCACACCTGTGGAACTTCTGTCTGAAACCCAATTGTGAAGAGACACAGGAACAACGCTAGAAAAAATAAAATGAGAAAGAAAAAGATTCATATACTGTATTCATGAATCTATTCCTGGAGTGTAAGGGTGAAAAATAAAGCAGCTGCTCTTTCGTCCGTAAACCGTTTCCCTCATAAACACCTCCGCCATCCCTTTTTTTCTTAGCTTTGTCCCTCCTTCTCATTGGCTGGGAATCTGCATTAAGACACGCCTTCTCCTCTCGTCTGTCAATCATCCTTCCCAAAAGAAAGCGAATTGGGCGGGAACTTAGAAAATGACGGACTGAAAAAAGCTGCCCCGCCCCCACCTTAACGGCTGCCATCGCTCCGGACCGCACTACGCATGCGCAGCGCCTAAACCCTCGCTTCCTCCTTCCCCCTTGCGCGGACGATAACTCCGTTCCTGTGTGTTGGGTTCCCCCCTCCTTCCTCTCCCGGCATGCCCCGCGCCGCAGAGGCGTTGACGTCACCGCAGCCCCGGTCTTGGCCGCCATTGGAGTTGGAAGCTTCCTCCGGCTGAGGAAAACACATAAATAAGAGTCTATTTTGCGGCCCCCCCACCTCCTCTCTTTCCTTTTTCCCTCCACCCATTTCAAGGGAAGACTGAAAAAAAATTATATCAGAAAGGGAGGGAGACAAAGGGGAACAACGGCGGCTCCTTTCTGTGAGGAAGCAAGCGATGTGAGGGAAGAAACCCGCGCGCTGCCCCCTCACACGAAGAAGCCACTGCGCGTGCGCGGCCCTCACTTCGCTTGACCTAAGGACTCTTCTTCCCTCCCTCCTCCTCCTCCTTTTTTTTCTGCCTACTACGCGCCTGCGCCTGAGTTCCCCTTCCCTCCCTCCCTCTCTCCGGCTCCCCCCTCCCGGCCGCCCGCTCGCTGTAGCCGCCGGGGATCTCCGTCCCTTCACCCGGGAAAGAGCGACAATCGGGAGGGGGGGGAGAGATACATTTCCCACCCTCATACCCTCTCCTCGCCCTCCCCTCTCTCACACACACACATTCACACGTACACGGCCGGGCACTTGCTCCTGCTCCTCTTCCTCCTCCTCCCCGCCCTCCTCCGCGCGCCTGGCCTCGCCCCCCTCTCTCCCTTCCTCCCCTTTCTTCCTCCCCCCCTCTTCCCCTTCTTCCTCCTCCTCCTCCCCTCCTTCAGGGCGCATGAGAGATGTCTGCCACCAGCGTGGACCCCCAGGTAAGCGGATCCAGATCCGGATTTTGGGGGGGGGGGTGAGAAAGGGA